TTAAAATTTATGAGGTAACTCCAAAGCAATTCTTAGAGGTAATTTTCTATCTTTAAATGCCTATATTAGAAATGAATAAAAGTTTAAATCAACTATCTTAGTTTCCACCTTAAGGACATAGCAAAATAAGAAAATTAAGTTAGTAGAAAAAAAGGAATAATAAAGTAAGATCAGAAATCAATGAAATAAAAAGCAACAAACTTTACATAGCCAAAGTTTGGTTTTCTGAAAAGATTAATACATATGTATCTCATAAACACTTCTGTTAGCAGGGTAAAATGATACAACACCTTGGCAAAACAATTTGGTACTATATTTTTATGTAAAATATTGACATGCTCTACAAATTTGTGACTCTAGCCCTAATTATAAACCAGAGGAAATCTTGCAAATCTATGCCAGGAAACTCATATGTTTATAACCACCTTGTTTATTTTCGAGGAAACTTAGTAATAGCCCCAAAGCCCTCCAAAAGAATAGATATATGAATTGTAGCCCGAAAGCCCTACAGCAGAAGAGATATATGAATAGTAGTATATTCAAGCACTAGCATATTATGAGGAATTAAAACAAATCAGTTATAACTATGCACAATTAATTCAACCAAAAACCCTTTCTTGAGTGTCTATTAGGTGCCAGGCACTGTTCTTGGCATTTTGAATACATCAGTTACTAAAATTGACAAGGATCTCTTCCCTTAAGCAACTTATATTCTTGAAGTGGAGATATATAATAAGCAATGCACATAATACATTATGTGTAAAGCACACTAAAATGTGATGCATTATTATGAACAAAAGAACAAGTGAAGTATGGTAATGGGACTCTGCAATACTGGAGTTGGGGAGAAACTGGGGTGTAATATTAAGGGGAACACAGGGAAATTGCTCTTAGCAATGTCATAAAATGGATATAATGTTGGTGAATCTTAGCAATAATATTGAGTGACAAAAGTACATCTCTGATGATGTGCCTCAATATTTGCCTGTGGCAGTGAAAAAGATCTGAGATGCTACAATTGCTCTTTTTCCCTGATGTGAGGAATGTGGAGGCATCGTTTTAAGATGGATAAGTCACAAGATCCAAGCAGCTTGAATTACTGAGTCACCACCTGGACATTAGGAAGCTATCAATTGTAAAACCCATTATTACTATGTGTACTAAGAAGGAGAAAAATGCCATCTGTGAATTATTTGTAAACTGCATCATGATTTCAGAAATGTTTTAGAGTCACTGACATATATTAAATGTTCAATAAACTGAAAAAAAGGAAATGTGAATGTTTTTAATTGGTTGCAAGATATGCCTTTTATCTTCATGTCATTAGTTAAAGGAATGGCTGGCAGCTACACATTTGAAATCATATCCTCAAAATATTTGCAGTATATGACTCCATCTTTCTTTCACATATATGAAATAATTATATATGTTTTTACATCATGTGAAGAATATTTTGAGATAGTTTTTTTCAGAGATAATTTTGAATTCAATTATTCAAAAAGCAAATAAGCATTGAAATATGCATTTAATAATGTAGGTTTATTCTTTCCACGGAGCTCATTCTATGCATGTGCTATATAACCATAAACTCAAATTTCAAATATTACACAAGTCAAAGAAAATATTTTTTATGGTTTATTAGTTTTCTGAGTTTTGAAAAGGAAGTTTTTAAGAAAAACAAACCTATTTTCCAGTTTTTAAGTGGTTTAACTATAATACTATAGTTAAAACTAAGACTTTCAAGCATAGACTTGGTGATTCTAGGGATTTCTTAAATGAATTCACATGAGAAACATTTCTTCAAATGTTTTAAATAAAATTCACCCTAAATGCCTCCCTAATGTCCTAGGATGATTGCACAGAAATAGCAAAACATGTGTTTGACCTGTTAACCAATCAATTCTAGCTACTTAGAGAGGTAGGTTGGATAATTCCTTTGTCTTAAAATTTAAGGCAGAGGATTATTAAACAAGATTAAGAATTAATAATTTGATATCACATTTATCATTTTTAAATTTTCAATGTACTTCACAGATTTTTGGCAGAGTCATAATTTTGTTAAGATATTTGAGCTTCATGATTACTAAAACAAATTTATACAAAGGATTCAAATTCATTCTTTCAATTTTTAAGCAATGTATATTCATTCTAGGCCAAAGGTGTTAGCCATATAATTATTAGATTCTAGTTTATATTTCAACTTACCACAAATAAAAGTAAATATGTCATGATATGCTAAAAAAAGCATATTCATAACATATATCTTGAAGTTTTAACTTCACATTAAGCCATTTACTTCTTGTCCAAGATATATTTATTTGGGAAGTTATGTTTGTTCTTCACAATTTTTTCTAATATACATTTGTGCTTATGAGGGAATTTGAAATTATGCATGTTCCAAGTTTTGGAGCAGAACATGAGGTGAAAAATTAAGTACATTGCAGGTTGATAGTACTGGACTCTCCTACTCCAAAGTTAGCAGATATGCCTTTTATATACACATCATTTTTTTTGAAGAAATGGCTGGCAGCTACACATTTGAAGTTATATCCCACTTTGGATATTAAAGTTAATTGAAAACATTACTTTTTTGGAGTTATTTTGAAAAACACTCATAAGACGACTTTACACATAGTTATATATTCATACAGTTAATTGTCTAGTGCCATTTTACAGATCAGTAAACTTCTTGTAGAACACTTACTAGACAAGCTTATTCTCATAAGGATATGTTCATGATAAGAAATATAGTGGTAGAGATTCATTATTTGCTGTTCTAACCTTTTTCCCACAGTGGATACAATTTTAAAATGTATTCCTATGCATATGTAGCACAGTATTTTTACTGGTTGTTTAACTAGATATCAAGGTGTAGAGTTCCAGGATTTGAATGTATGCTTCAAACATCTGAGCTACATATGGCATATACAGCTGTGTTTATTTCAATGATTACACATTTGCATGCATATAAACATTTATTTGAATGTAATTATCTTATTAATGTGAGTATTCAAACAAATACATTTGCTGCACTTATTTGAATATGGAATGGAAAAGGATTCAAATAAATATATTTGCCACTTTTATTTAAATCTTACACTATTTATTCATATAATTATTTATTAATATACAATCATAACTCTTCTTTTTAGTCTAAAACCAAATATTTTTAAAAGATTAAAGAAAATGGGACTGTGATCATACAAATCAAGAAAGTTTTATAGAGAGATGTTACTCATAGTTAGCAAGCTTTCAGAAGAATCTAAAAACTCAGCGATCAAGAAATAAAATCATTGCAATGAATGTGTTTATTTTTATTCAACTTATCACAGTATGGTGGACATTTTAATTGAATCTCAAAGCATTGTCTTGAGGTATTTTTTTTTCTACTACTACCGAATCTGACAAGATAAACACTTATGGGTTTTGGTTTAATATAGAAGGAAAAAGAGTTTCACTATTTTAAAGCCACACACACACAAAATCTGGTTAAGAGTATTAATATAATCTCATTTAACTCTACCTTAATTCTGGGAAAGGAACTGGGAGACCAGAAATGATTAGGAGGACAGAAAATAAATTACATTTGGATTCAATTCCTGGCCATGATATCCTGGAGACTTTAGAGAACCTTCTGGTTAGTCTATTTATACTGTTCTCAGTTTTTTGTATGCTACTTCTTTCGCAAGGGCTTTTAAAAAAAGATATACTGACTGGTTAAGGAAGGTGACTTATTCTTGAGCAAAGAAAAAGTTAATACGGAAGTGGCATTAATTTTTGAAGGATTTAACTGCATGAACTTAGATTTGTTTAATGATTGAAGAAACTTAACTTCTCTTAAACTGTGCTTCATTGTTCATAGGCTGTGGATCATAACAACTCTCAGTGGGTTTGTAAGGATTACATGAGTATATGATATAGACGCATCAATAGTCAAAGCTTTCCAAATAACTGACATCTTAATATTTCATTCTCTGTTTTGTATTGTGAAAACATCTGAACATAGACCCTAAACCTTAGTTCTTGGTCATGTTTCAACAATCACCTTCCCAAATTGATTAATTCTTGTTAAAATAAAATTAATATAAAAAGAATTTTGTTTTTTTCGTTTTTGGTGCTTGAAGAGGCAATGAGTACATGTTTACACAGACCATTCTTTTTCCCAGGGATGCTCCCCTGAGAGTGTGGATTGGAAGTACGTGTGTGCGTGTGTTAGGTGGGAGTGGTTCAATAATCAAAATAACATATATTAATATTTGTGTTTCATTTTTAAAGTTACAGTCTTTATTTTTAATTTCTACAGTTACTTAGTGAGACAGGAATTAGAGCATTGGACTCACGTCAAAGGAAAGGAAAGGAAAGGCCGCAGGGCCCGCGCATTTGCGTCCAAGATCGGCGCAGAGGCGGGAGATAGACCGACCAATCGGAGAGCGGGCTGGGGACTGGTCCCGCCCCTGCCCGCCGAGCCCCGCCTCTGCTCCATCCCGCCGTGAGGCTGGTGTGCGGCTGGCTCGTCCCGCCCCTGCCTGTGAGTGACAGGACCGTGGACAGCAACATTTTCAGCCGGACACGAAGTTTGTGGGCCCTTGCCTTGGCAGAGCTGAGGTGTGTGTGTGTCCGGCGAGTGCGAGGGGTTTGGGGAGATCCTGCCCAGGAAGGTCGGGGTCCGGGACTGAAAACGGGAGCACCTCCTTAGCGAGCCCCTAAAGCGTTTAGGAGACGATGGTTCCGTCCCTGGTAGCGGCACCTGGGCGGGCTGGGCGGAGGGAGGCTCTGCAAGAGGAACCCGGAGCTTGGGAGACCCAGTAGGTACGATTATCACTTAAGGACCCCGTCCCGGGGAGCAGGGCGCTCGCGGTGGGGGCGGCCGATGGCGGGCAGGGGTTCGCGTGGAGGGTGGGCGTGTCCGCCGCGGTTGCTGAGGAACGCGCGGTGCCCGCCCTGCCAGCGTGTCTGGCGCGGGCCGCTGGGCCCTGGAAGCGTTAGTCCCGCCCACCTCCTGAGGCCTTCCGCTCGGCTGGCGATTGGCTCCTTTGTGAAGTCAGATAATTCGCGGCCCTTTACTTCACTGAGCACGTCTACGGGTTTTGCAGTCCCCGTTCCGGCCTCCGTTTCCCATATTACTCTTCACTCTTTCTCTTGCCTACCCTTATTAACGAACAGGTATCTGCAGTGCAAAATATTTGTAGATAAGAGCTTCAGACAGCACGGAGTGGTTTTATTGGTGGTGGAGGGGAGGGGAGGGTTACTTTTTCTGGAGCTTGGTGAATCCCTGAACCCACCAGGTATTGGTGTCCACATGGATGAGTAGGAAATGGGGGGTTGAAGACCCTGTTTCTTCTCCCTGGAATTATTTTTCTCACTGCTGCCTGTTTGGGCTTAATGAATTTCCCAGGATGTTGAAGCAATCTGCTACTGGAGGGGCCCCAATAAATGATCCTCTTTTCAGTCCCTGCTGTGGAGAAGTGTGCTAAACTGTGAAGCTCTTTTTTTTTGCTTCATTGGGCCCATATTTAATGATCAACTAGGAGATGGTAACCATAGATAACCATTTCAAATCTCTTGTTTGCTCATGTAATCTGACCCCAAATGATTCAGCAGAACAAACATTTGGAAGAAAAAACACAAAGGAGCTAAATATCTGCTTTTACTTCCCTCTGCCAGGTTTACAGTGTAAATCCCTAGTAAGGAAGCTTGTACTGCTTGTTAACATTAGGAAGATCATTGGCCTACAAGTCAGGAAACTGGCAGGGTTAGAAAATGTTTGTCCTAAGGCAATACCTTCACAACTGTTTTCTTATCTGTAAGTCAGGTATAATAGTATGTGCCATTTCTTCCTGTAAGAGTGGAAGTTTTATTAAAATAATGATCTTGCAAATGTAAGGTGTTGTTGATTACACTTTTAATCTTTAGGTGATCTGAATTTGTAAACATATTTAAGTATTATCATTCAGCTTAAACTATTTTAGAATTTCTCTTGATTTCCTTGGGTTATGTAGACATGGGGAAGAAACCCACTCATCTATTCATTATTGATTCTGTGTTGGTTCTGGTTAGTAGCGCCTGAAATATCTTGCATGACACTTTTTCCCCCTTTATAACACTAGATTTTTTTTTCACTTGTTGCCTGAAAGGATTGGGTAATATTACCTTTTAATTCAATGGTAACTAACCTTTTTGGTGTCATGTACCACTTTGAGAAGCCAAAGAAAGCTATTGACTTGCTCATCCACAATTTGAAGCATAAGTGGAACCTGGATTAAGAACATCTGCTTTCATTCAACTTCTTTAGGGATAAGAAAATTATTCTCTCCCCCTTGCCTCATCCCAAAGAGAGACTAAGTAAATTTTACCTAAAGCTACATAGCTGCGAGCAGAGCTAGGTCTTTTTCCTTTCTTCCATAATGCCTGCTACTATAGCTTACCTTAGTTCAGGGTCTTCAATCCATCCACTGCCCCTGGCTCTTGATTTTTTTTTTTTTTTGTTAACAAACAGAAACTAACAGTGTTTAATAAATTGTTGCTGTCTTACAAAACCATGTAAGCAATATTTTTCCCAAAATGCCCTTTGATCATTATCTCTTAAAGCATATTCAGATATTTAAACAAGTGAAAAGAGAATATATTGTCATTTTGGAAAAATGTTAAATTGTAATTTTGAGATAAACATTAAATACATAAATATTCTATCAAAGTCTGTTTTGGACAAAGAAAAGCTGACTTGTTTAGTACCTGCCACTGGAATATCATTATCTATCTGATTGCTAGAACTCTTTTTTCAAGCTAAGTTCATTAATGATCTTTTATGACATTTTAATTTCCTATGGCTAAAAAATATTGTGGTTGGTTTCATGGTAGCTCTTTTCCTGATTTCTATATTCAGATAGAAGGCTATGAATAGAATATTTTCTTTGTTCAAATTCCTTATTTAGCTTCCCCAATAAAAGTGGGTATCAGTAGTAGATATAAAACGCTATCATTGCATAAGGAAAAAATTGGAGAGGGAAAGATCTATTGTTTTTGTAATAAACATGAGCGTATACAGGAGTACTTGTTATTTCTTTAGCACTTATGATTTTATTCAAACTGTTTGGTATTTGACTTTTCCTTTACTTACTCCACTCTCTTCATTTCTGGTAGAGAGACAGGGATAAAGAAAAATGGATTAGAGAGGCCATTAAAATGGACTTAGAGATTTTTGGGGAGCAATAATAGCTCTTTCCTTACTCTTTTGAGTTTGTAAACAGACCTGTGGGGTTTGCAATATTAGCTTCATTACTAATGAGTTGATTAGGGGTAGTGCTTTAGATGTGAGACCAAAAAATGAGTACTAGTATTTCTTATCCACCTTTACCCCGACTCTTTCCCAGAACTTAGACTTAGTTCAACTGAGAGAAAAATTTCAGTTTGCAGAATAGACACACTTACCCAGAATTATTCCTTTGCATGGTCCAGGGCAGAGAGAAAAGTAAAAGAGGGAAATCTCTAGTGTATACTGGCTTATAATAGGTTAGTTCTATCCATGGAGTAATGTGGACTTACAGATTTTAGCCACCAATTAAATAATTCTATTGTGACGCTGTGAAGAAGGAGTGAGATCTAAGGCCAAAACTGTTAGTTTAGTGCTCTGGTTTTCCATTCTGAGTTACACCTTTGGGCCATTTGGAATATGTGGGGGTGTTTTTAGATTATTACAATGTCTTTAAAGAAGGTACTACTGGCTTTTGGGACCCCAAAGTTCAGGGATAATAAATATTGTGTAATGTAGAGGTCCACCAGCTTTTGAAGAATTTCTCTTCTGTGCCAAAAGCTGTTCCATTTCAATTTTCTCCATGTGGAAACATGAAGCTTTGGGCCAGATTTCCCCCTAGTCTGTGTCCATATGTATCTATGTTTTTGATATCAGTAGATTTGGCTCTAAGTGTGGAGGTCTTAAAAAGTACTGCTTAAAATATAGAGTTCTTTTTGAAATTTTTCCAGAATATCTAGAATGATACTAATGGAAAGTAGTGATACATATTTCATCATATTTATATCCTTAAATATCTTATTGAACAGATAAAGATCATATAGTCCTAAGAGCTAATTCTTTTATTTCTATTACATATATTTATTCCTTTCTTATATGGCAGAAATGTTAAGTATCCTTGCAACAGTCAAGTGAGATAGGTATATATTTTCATGAAAAGAAATTATTTTTTACTTACCTCATATTTTCGAAATGTTAAACAATAATAATAAAATTATAAGTGCTAAAAAGATAAATACTGTATATTCAGTGGTTTAACAAACTATTTCATTGAATCAGAAGGTGAAGATAGTTCCATAAATGAACAACTCTTGTTAATTGTTTGGCTTTTAAGCCACTGAACATGGAGACTGATAGCAGGGATAAAGTAGCTTAGCTCTCTATACACGTATTATGTAGTGACGTAGTTGCAAAAATAGAAGACTGATTATACTGAAAAACTTAAAATTTTCACAAAGACAAAAGAAAGATAGTTTAGTCCAAAGAACACAAGTTTTACATACTTAGAATGTTAAAAATATTCAAATATTGCAGGGTGTAGAATAAATTATATGGGTACTTGTGGCAAGGTCTCATGGTAGATAATACTTTATAACCTATAGCAGATGGAAGGTATACTACACTGAAAACTTTAGACTTGGCATCAGTAGTAGACATATCCTTTGTTGAGTTTTATAACATTTCCAGTTATCAAGTTCATTATCTATGTAAAATAGTTGAAGATTTGGGGTTCTCTACAAGTTTTGTGAGGAATATACTTGAATATTATAATATATTGACATTATTCACAGTGACTCAGTATAGCACTGACTCTTTCTAGGCAGGGGCATACCAGATTTTTTTTTTTTAGGATGGGAAGGTGTAATTTAAAAAAGTAACTCCTGGTTTATGATTCTCCTTTATCTGTGTTTCTAGGGAGTCCATTCTCTGTCTCCTCCTACCCTCAACACCTGTCCTCCCTACTCATATTTGGAAAGCACTGGACTGTGTAGAAATGATTTATACAGTTTCTCTCAGTGACAAAATATCCTGGATTAATTTAGCATTTGAAAATGAATCAAGTAGAACAAAACACTCCACAAAATCAAGGCAAAGAAAGCAATCAGAAGACTAAGAGGCATACCTACAAAATTCTAAAAAGAATTTTAAGCTAAGGAAGAACACTTCAGGGAATTCTTTGATCTCTAAAGCATTCAAGAATGCATGGCCTCTATGGATAGGAGAAATGCATATAAATAGAACAATGGTAAAGTAACAGAAAGTAGATAGTAAAGGGAAACAAAAAGATGACAAAGAAACTAGAAGTATAAGATCTATTAAGGTCATTAAATATGAAATGTCTGATTTCAAGTCCAAAGTTTGGTTTATTATATCTCAAGCAAGAAGCAGTACAATTAATCAAAGTATGCGCCTAAACTGTTGACATAATTTTGCCATCTCAATGGTAGCTTGTTTATGCCAGCAGTGAAGAAGCCTGGAGAGCGAGTGGCAATGAAATCGCTAAAGACATTTTCCACAGCTTGTTGAGAATTAAATATTTTTCCTTGTAAGAAGTGGTCCAAAGCCTGGAAGAAGTGGTAGTCAGTGGTACAAGGTCTGGTGAATATGGTGGATGACAGAGAGTTTCCAAGTCCAGCCTCTGTAGTTTGAGCAGTGTTGTTTGTGTGACACGTGGTTGAGTGTTATCTTGCAAGAGGATTGACCTGTTTCTATTGACCAACCTTGGCTGCTTAAACTCAAGTATCCTCATCATTTCATCCAGTTGGTTGCAGTAGACATCTGCTATACTTGATTGACCAAGGTCCATGAAGCTGTAGTGGATAATACCCCCGACGGACCACCAAACAGACACCATTAGCTTATTTTTGATTAATATTTGGTTTTGGACTGTGTTTGGGTCCTTCATCTTTATCCATCCATTACGCTGAACACTTACGATTGTCAAAAAGAATCCATTTTTCATCACACCTAACAATACAGGGTAGAAATGGTTCAACTTTATGTCGTGACAGCAAAGAAAACCAAGCTTCGAGAGGCTTTCTTTTCACACACTCTAAGTCATGTGGTACCCGTCTAACCAGCTTTACCTTGCAGATTTGTTTAAAATTGTCCAATATTATTGGAATAGTAACAT